AAAAAAAACAGACTTCGTAGTCCGGTTGATATTGTTTAGATGACGGCAATGCATTTCGGATCTTAAAACCCAAATCTGTCTGGGTCCAACAAAATGGTAATGGTGTCAGCTTAACAAATCGTGATGGCCACGCAGACGGAGAGGCTAGTGTTGAGTGCACATTCAGAATGAGAAGGCGTTCTGTTGTCGAAACATCAAAATTGCCCGACATAACAAGAGATAGCCTACTAATTGGGGATCATTTGCCTATACCAAGAGAAATGCTGAATCAGAGGTCCATAATAAACGGGAGATAAGCAATTAAACAAGCACATCCGGTTGCAGGAACATTCAAATATGGCGCCGATAGCTTGGACGCAAGACCAATTTTGAGTGCCTAGTTGGTGGGAAAGATTTTTTTGGGGGGAGGGCTATTGATCATGGAGACCGCAAATCTATACTACGCAGGGGAGCCACAGCGGATGCGTCTTCGTCGCGTTCCCATCGGCATCATGGCAGCCAAGGTCTGCTAAACCAACCTTCCTACGTTGGATCAATCTCCTCTCTTCCCATCCTGTGTTTTTGCTGACGGACCAGTCCCTCCCGGCCACTCTGCTCCGACTCTTCCTCGCCGCCGGGATTGAGGTCAGCATCTTTTCGCCTGCAGTGCCCGGCCAAGCACCCAACTCATCCTCGTGGACCTTTGGTTCAGGCCGATTGAGGTCACGGCTTTTCTTTGTCTTGCAACTACAACCAATTTGGATTCCGGCGGAGACTTTTGATCCAACAAGGGCCACGACACACACAACATACGCAGCGGTTCTTCAAATGATTTCCGTCGTCAGGCAGAATTGAATGAGTATTTTTGATGCAGTTGCCGCCAGCAGATTTCATGCGCGATTGTCTAATGTTTCTCCCCATGCGACAGGCTGCAAAGGCTCTAGACAACTGTACTTAATAAAAAGTGACTCTGCACGAGAATGAAACTCGACAAACCGAGCAGGTAGTTAATCCAATACAAAGAAAATTATTGCAGCCAGGTTTGTAGGTCAATTCTAGAGAGAATAAATTGGTCTTTCCGACTCGTCGCAGTCCATGGGGAATTAAAGCAACTAAAAACAATGAAAACATTAGCCAGACGATTCGGGTGGTCAACAGAATCTATCATCAGAGATGAAACCAGATAACTACCCAATCAGACACAAGCGCAGTTGTAC